ACAGAGTTGTTGCGTTTTTTCTTTCTGTGTGCTAACAATTTTGGCGGTGTTTCCGTATTGTAGCATTTCTGCAAACANTTTCTGTTACCAAGGTCTGCGCCGAAATTGTCAAAAACAGAAATTGTTTGCTGGGTATATATATAAGTTTATATGTAATTTCTTTATATATTTTTTATTATGTTTAACTATTTAGTTAGTTTACTTACCGGAATCAACGGGAGGAGAAGGAGGAGGAGAAAGCTCCGCTTCATCTCTACGGGCTCTTCCTAAAATGTGAAAATCACTAGTTAATATATATTTTTATTCTAACAGTTAGTAATTCTTGTTTTATTGCTTGTAAACTTACGCAGCGGAGGTTTGTTTGCTTCTTCTGACCCCTCTCGTCGGCGACGTTGGGCCCTAGGAGCAGGGCGTTGCATTGGCAACACCCTGGCTATCGCTGCTTCCACACGGGGCGATACGCTCGCAACTTGCTGCTGCTGACAAGAAGCAAAACGGGATGACGTCGGTGCAGCTTCTTCTTCGTTTGCCGTTACTTTGTTACGATTGTTCACTAAAGTAAATGAACCATGCAGTATATCAAAAAAGTTTTACAAATGTAAAAATAATATTCTAACAAATATAAAACTTTTACTCACCCATATTATCACGCATCATTCGTGCGATTCGTCCTCGCACATCTTTTTCTTTGTGTTGGAGCGCCGTGCGAAATTCCACTACTTCGCACGCGATGTGCAATAATCGGGGATCTTCATCAAAATATCCCAGCGCGTGCAATGTTGCGAGGTACGTATTCGATATTCGATGCGCGATTTGATAGAACAAATCTATGTTGTCTGCGTTTTCCCGTATACGCAGCAACACACTCCGAATATGCATTGACATAAATTTGTCAAATGCGCATTGCATTACATGCATTGCAATGTCTTCTATTGTTTTTGCCGACATTTTTAATAAAATATATTACCAAACTGCAAAATAGTACTTTTTGAACGCGCTTTTGAACTCCGACACTCACTAAAAACTCACTGCTTGCTATTTACTGAAGAACTGGCTGATTCTTGATCTGAACTCAGACTGCATTTTGAACTCGTTGCAACAGATCTTTTATACGCTGTTTCACCCCCAAAAATTACAAAGTGAGAGTTGGTCTAGGATGTCACAAACTGACAAACCGTTTGTTACTCGGAAATGCTATAAAGTTTTATCGTTTTTGCCAGCGGTAAGAAAAAATCTGTTTTTGCTTTTCCATAAAGTTGACATTGATTTCTCGTAGATGAAAAAATGATCCTGAGATGTCGCGTATTGGCATTGACCGTCTGTTACTCAGTCATAATTTTTACCATTTTTTCAACGGAGTAAAACACATCCTTTAGCTTTGTTTCCATAAAACGGAGATTTACAGTTCTGAGCTGCAATAAATAACCGAAGGACTTGCGATATATTGACCTTTGATTTCTGACTTTGAAATTGCACTATGAGAAACTTTCTCGCACAATTTTTCGAGATAGACACGCACGTGGAAACACGTTGCAACAGGATGCGTGATATAAGAACACCTTATTTCAAAGAATTTTTATTTATTTTCTATG